GCATTATCATTAATATTATTACCATTATTATTATCATCATTATCATTATTATTATTATCATTATCATTATTATTATTATCATTATCATTATTATCATTACTATCATTATTATCATCATCATCATTATTTTTATTATCTATATTCTTATTATCATTATTATCATCCTTGTTATTATTATTGTCATTATCAATATCATTATTATCACTATTATTATTATTATCCTTATTGATAGCATTATTATTCTTATTATCGTTCTTATTACCAATATTGTCATAAATTACCTTCATAGTTATTAAAATTTAACCATTATCATTCTCAATGTTATAATGATTATTATCATCATTATCATCATCATTATTTTTTTTGTTATCATCACCCTTATAGATATTATCCTTATTGTTTTTATTATCATCATCATTGCCATTATTGTTCTATATTTACTATTATTTTTATTAACATTATAGTTATCGTTCTTATCCTTATCATAACTATCATCATTATTTTAGTTGTTATCGTCATCATTGTCATTATCAGAAGCATTATCTTTACCATTATCATTAATAATCATAACAGTAGTAGCAGTATTCAAATACTCCTGTCCCTGTGAAGTATCATATATCGTGTATATGTGTGTAGTATTCCCTTTTACAAGAATAAAACCATTTTTACCTGCTCGCCTCCTCAGTGTTCTCTTGTTTCCCTTTATAAAAACATGAAATCACGCGTTTTTTTAGTAAAACTCGTGTAAAGGATAAGTGAGATGGGCATAATACTGGAAAAGCTATGCACGAGTGTGTATGTATGACTGTGTTTCGTGCATATGAGTACATGTCTGTGTGCATGCGTTTGTATAGTACCTGTGCAAACGAATGAAAGTGTGTGTGTGCGCATATACTTTCTCAAGTAATTACTAAGATTAATAGTGTACATAGCATGTGTGAGATTTTAAATACACACAGGCACAGAGAATATTACCACAATATACACATGAATAAATAAATAGAAATAGATATTTGCTTCAGAAAAGTAAACATGTCTGGATGTCAAATATATGTACATAAGCTAATATATAAACATGTCTCTGTTTACATACACTTATAAATAAATTAACAAATATGCTTCTGTACATATCTATGACGAGAGAATGGGAGCAAGAGAGTGGGACAGAGAGAGAAAGGAGGAGAGGGGGGGAGCAAACAAGAGATTGAAATGTCGACAGACCGTGGGTCGATAAAGACGGCAATAGTTATATAAGTAGATAGACAGATATGTAAATGTATAAATAGTCAAGATATAATGAAACTAAGCAAACTTCCCATCCCACAGACGCCGAATATTCAAATGCCAATTAACATATATATTTTGTTCAAACAGTGGAGTCCCGAGGGTTGGCAAGTTATACGGTTTTACATCAGCGTCGAAAACGGTTTGGGTTCGCATGTTTGCTCCTCTGTAGCAACTCTCTTCGTGGAAAGATACTGGGTGTGGCTGTATTGTATTACCTGGATGTTTTATTAAATCATATTCAAATAGTTATGGACCTTGTATATCTCCCAAATCATCCGATATAATTGTCCTTCCTCGCCACAAAAAACGGCACTACACCATACCAATCCCATCAGTGCACATGCGCCTGTTTTAGGAAAGTATTGTGCTAAAGAGGATATGACCAGCGGTGCTCAGATAGTGTATTAGGAATAACATAGCATCATATATAGATAGTTTCGGATTTTATTATCTCAGATACATAAGGAAAGAAGCTCTGGAAGGAACACAGCGGCGTATTGCCTGTTGTCGTAAGGAAGAGCTGAGCATACAAAAAATCACCTGCGATGTATCAAAAATAGTTATTTCCTGTTACTGACGATGGACGCATTCAGTAGAAGCGTAGAGCTGAGACCGAAGTCAAGCCATTGAGAAGCGGGCGCGGGACACTGCGAGGCCAGAGGGAGCAGACTCGTGGGGTTCAGAGGCTCAGAAAACAAGAGGAACTCGCCTGGAAAGGAAAATGGGATTTAAGATTAATGAATCAATCAATTAATTGATGAAGGCAAGAGGAACTCGTCTGGAAAGCGAAAAGGAGATGTATTTAAGACCAATGACAGCGGCTATTAAGTCAACGGGACCAACATATTGCGATGCACATGGTTATTGCCAGCATTGCCGGAAATGAACGTGCTAATGCTCACCGTTGGTAGTATTTCCCTCGAAGGTCGGGCACTGGACGGGCGGGAGGAGGGAGCACTGCGGGAAAGCGGGAGTCTCTCGGCCTGAAGAAAGACCTTACGGATTAGAGCCTAATCTATACCTTTGAATCGACGACAATCTACTAACCACTTAATTCTTATCGTTTTATTATGAACAAAAAGAACTAGAAACTCGTACCAAGAGTCGAATTCCGGAAACCGTAACACTGAGTGGGCCGCTGCAGGGGACAGGAACCAAAGGCAGCCACAAGCACCACCACGGAAGCAAAAATCACTGTGCGAATCATCTTCACCTGCAACGAAGACGGCATGTCACCAAACCATGACAAACATCACAGAAACTTAGCACAGTCACAAAGAAACACCGTTCACAACATCTTAGACAAAGGTATATACTCACCAGATAGTATGGAATTATCACAGATACAAAGGCACCGCTGCGATAGATCTCACGCTGAGGGGAAAGGAGCGCACTGGAGAATGACAGCGACGCGGCCCCTATACATGCAGGGACCTCGGGCGGGAACGTTCCCTCGTCTCCTTCCGCCTCGCCCTCCCGCTGCGGTCGTCGCTGGCGTTCTCATCATACAGATACAGAAAATAAATATAACTTATATATATATTATATATATATATATAATATATAATATATATATATATAATATATAATATTATATATAAATATTATATATTATATATATATAATATATTATATATATATATATACAATATAATTATATATTAATATATATATATATATATATATACTATATATATATATATATATATATATATATATAATACATATATAATTATATATTATAATAATATAATTTATATATATATATATATATAATATATAATATATATAATATATATATATATATATATATATTATATATATATATATATATATATATATAATATATATATAT